TATTAAAATTTTGGCAATGTCTTTTCTATACCAAAAGATCTCAATTTATTGAATAAACACCTATTATTTTTTAATATTTAATCAATTTATATTATACTCATTATCTAGTCATCTAATACTTATTAGATCACAACTCAACACATTCATCACATGTCAATATAGTTCAATTGAATCACTCCCATAATATTTGAAAAATTACTTAATTACTATATTCAAAATTTAATGTAAGCATCATCATAGTAAAACCTACATTACATAAATAGATTTAACAAACATTTAAGTCTAACATAAAATCCTAAAATAACAATTACAAGAAAATATTTAACATATATGTTATTATCCCAAAAAACTACACAAAATATGTCATTTATATTCTTATAAAACACAAAATACAAAAGCCCCATGATCTACTAATCCCAATGAATTATTGCAAGGATCCTAAAATTTGTTTTATATCATGATTAATTAATTAATTAATACCGCATAAGATTTTTCAATCTAATTTAATCAATTCATGGAATAACTAAATTATCTATTAGGTTAATAATTAACTTAATTCCTTTTCTTACTAATTATAACAATCCTATGATCTTCCAAGGGATTTTTCTTTAACCCAAACCTGGACTATAAACTCTTATTTAGGTGACATTCTTACTATCTAGAAATAGGGTATTAAACCTATTTCGAGTGTCTAGTTTTACAATTCAAATCAATGTCTAGTTTCACAACTCGAAATAAGGTATTAATCCTCAAACTAGTGAATTGGTCATCTAGCTCAAAACAGGGTATCAGTTTTGAAAGTGTGGTAGCGATTGCTTTTTAAAGTGTTTTTCATTAGAAAATATATCAAAATAAAATTTTTTAAAAATATTTTTGACATCAACAAATCAAAAATATCTAAAAACACAAAAAAATTAATTTGAAGCAAAAAAATATTTAAATTTTTTAAAAATACTTTTAAAACACAAAAACTAAAAACTAATCATTCAAACTAGAACATAGCATAAGTTCTTCATTCAAGAATTAATCATCTAACCCATAACAATTTACCAATCAAAAATTATTTTTAACATCAGTATATTAAAATAATAAAATATATAAAAAAATTATTCTTTTAATAAAACATAAATTGAAACACAATTATAAACTATGCATTAGGAGGTATTTGAAAGTGTGATAGCGGTTATTTTTAATGTGTTTTTTATTTAAAAATGTATTAAAATAATATTTTTTTTATTTTTTAAAAATTATTCTTGATATTAAAAAATTAAAATAATTTAAAAAAATAAAAAAATATTAAAAAAAAATGCAAAAACAATACGTAACTCACTTCCGACGAGGCACCCCCTAGCCTTTTTACCCCTATCATTGTTCCTCATGCTTCTGCGGGTCCCAACAAATGCGCTCTTTTCATTTACAAGCACGTCTCCACCTCTGCACGAAGCGCAAATATATTACTGGAATTACTCAACATCGATTGATATTATCCAGGCTAAAATGATAAAAATATCCTGTATTCAGGAGTGGGTTTATTTACTTTACTTTGAATAACAAAAGGGATTTGCAAATTCTCGGCATTTTAATGAAGCAACGCGTCCCATCTTTTTCTTGTTTTTATAGATCTTATTTGTTTTTACAGTAAAAATATTTTTAAAAAAATTAAGTTTTTTATTTAAACTTATTTTTTACTATTTTTAAATCATTTTAATTTATTAATATTAAAAAATAAAAAATATCATCTTTATATATTTTTAAATAAAAATTACTTCAAAAAATAATTATTATCATAATACTAATCACACTATTAATCATCTATTACTAAGTTTGTGGAGTAGTTATAGTTTAAAAAAATTATTTAATAAAAAATATTTTTAATTAAGATTGATTTGGAAAAATATATGTTTTGTTAAAATTATGGTTGAAATTAAAGTTAAATAAAAAAGTAATTTAATGTATTTAATAAAAAATACTTTTTAAACTAAAGTTATAAAATAATTTAAAAAATATATTAATATTGATAATTTTTTATTAAAATATTATTAATTTAATTATTGTTATTATATCATAAAATAAATAATATTTTATATAAAAAAACTCCGGATTTGATATTATTTTTCTTCCATGCCTCTATTATTTTTAGATGGGTTGAAAAGGGAAAGAGTTGTTGGCTGTTGGCTAGAGGACAGGAGCTTTTTATATTATTAATGGTGAGGAATTGCTTGCACACTAAATGAGAAGTATGAAAAAATTACTTTGTCAAAATTTGAGATTGAACCTCATTTTTAATGGATTCCATCAACCAAATCAGAGCTTTATTTTTTAATCAAACACCATATTATCTGTGTTTAAACAAAAACACAGCAGCTACAGCAAAGTCAAACGGTCAGTTGATGACTAAATAATCCAAAATGTCATTCTCGAAAATAATGAGAAAAACCAGGCCTTTTTACTTACAGTTGTGCCTACTCGCTCTTCTCTCTCATAGAGGAAGAGAGTGAGCAGGTGTGTAAATAACTGTAGAGAGTCATTTCGGATCCCCATCGATTCTGCCTCCGTCCTTCCTCCTTGATTGACCCTTCGTGATCTCTCTCTTACACTCACACAAACTCTCATGGTATTTAACTATACAGAAAACTAAGTTACCACGCTGATAATCAGTCTCTTTGACTGCTGAGGTAATTTACTCTGTCTTCTCTCACTTTATTGTGAGAAATGGATATTATGGTGGAGTTGTTGTCTTTTTCGAGTTTCGATTGTTTTTTTTTCTGATGCGATTTATACTGTGCTTTTACAGTTTGGTGAAGGGCTTTTTGGAGATCCTTGCTTCTAACTGGGAGAGGATCTGATCTGATCAGGTTTTGAATCTCTAGAGTCTTGTTTTTATTGTAAACTGGCTTTGGATCTGTTGATGCTTGATTTGGATTTATCATGGAGGAGATCTAGAACTTTCACTCTGGTTTTGCTTCAGTTTTAACCCTAAAAGTTTTCATTTTAGTTTTATTTTGTTAGAATTGGGTTTTGGCTGAGAGGGTACAGTAGTTGAATCGGTAATTTTTGCACGGTATGGAGACTCTTGTTGTTGTGGCTGAACACAGGAATCAGTATTACAGCGGAATTAAACCACACGGGCCTGCTAAATTCGGGGCTTCTCCTTCTAAGCACTTTAGGGATATCAATTGCAGGACTTTTCAATCCGGGGCAGGATTACTTCCAACCCCGTTTCAGACTTACACTACTCCTGTAACCAAAAGCACCACCCTTGCTCCTGCTTCTCACTCTCCAAAAACACCATCACCAGCTGTCAAGTCTCATTCCAATTCTCATTCTGTTGACAATGGTCGCTTGAAGACTGCTTCAAAAAGCTCTTCTATAACTTTTAATTTTAAGATTTCTAGAAAGGAAACATCTTTTAATGAGGCGATAGGTTTTGTGAATGGGAATTTACCCTTCTCGGAGCTTTGGGCTGGTCCTGCTTATTCGAACTCTCCACCACCAAGTTCTTTGCCGATTCCTAAGTTTTCAATGAGGCCACCAAAGCGAACCGTGTCACTTGATTTACCTGTGTCTGATGATGCTGATTTTGATGTGCAACCAACTGCCAAGTCTGCACCGGCTTCCCCCTCAAGGGAGCATAGCCCTTCTATAAGAGATTTGCTTCTTAGTGCTGACTCCGCGACGAAGACTTTGCGTCGCATTCTCAACCTTGATGTGGCAGGCGAGTGAAGTTTAAGGGGCGTTTTGCTCCTGTAAATAGTGAATTCAGTGGTAGATGTATATAGATGAATAAATTAGCCAGGAGTTTCAGTTGGGTTGAGTTTCTTTAGCTTCTGGTAGTGGTGGTGGTACAACAAGCAGTCATGGCTTGTTAGGTCAATAATCTTCAGATGTTACACTGAGAAACTTATATGTGACCTGGAGTAGTATTTTGGTAGCAAGGCAGGCAGGCCAGGTACATGGCTTTATAGCTAAGATGGGGCAAGACTATGTGAAACGGATGGAAGCTGACTCCAATACATTCAGGAAACAGAGGGGAAGTTATAATGAAGTTGTAGTGAAGGTCATTTTGTCAGGAGCATGTGACTACTTGCAAGTTTCTATTCTATGATCTATCATACCCTTGCGAAGCTCTTTGCCTAATCTCCTTGTGAGATTGTTTATTCGCTCTACTTAAGTTCTTGAGAAGAATTTAGGCTTATAACATCTGATGCTATGTATATACTGCATTATAACTTGATTAGTCTTACAATTCCATGGGTTTCTGTCTTATTGGCGTATCCTCACGTTCTTTTCTTGGTTTCAATTCCGGCGCCCTCTTCTAGCTTCACTTTCTGATTGCTAACATTAATTAGCCTATTAGTTTCCTAGTTTAGTGCTGCCTCAATTGGCACCCTAGATTATCCGTTCTCTTGTAATAGCTTACTTGCCTCATCACTTCCAATAATCAATGCCAGCTCTTATATATATTCCCATTTTTTATCCTCCTCCTTTAGGCAGCACTAACTCCATGCACAACCTTTCTTCTTTAGGTAGCTCTAACTTCTTGCACACCCTGCACGGGTGGTGTTCCTCCTTAGCCATCTTTTCTGTTTTTTAAGAGGGAAAAGTGGGAAGGGGAAGTGAAAGTATTTGTTAGTGTTTTCTGCTCCTTTAGTCTGTCAAAGTCAATCCTATCCATGTGGCTCTGTCATGTTGGAAGCCTTTCAGTTTCTTGTTATTTTGAACAGTTAATAGGGCCCCCTCTTTGCCTTTCATGAAGTGTATATTCCTCGGAGATTGTTGACCGTGCCAAGCCATTTGCAAGGTAATAGTTTACCAGTCTTCACCTTGATTGTTTATTAAATATTAATTGATTGTTACTGATGTTTACTCAACATGTGTTCCAGGGAGCTGCTTGTCCAGGAACATTTCAGGAAGCTGCTGTTATAATAGGATATGCTCTTGATAGATGTAGTCCTAAAAGTACGTCTTATCACGATTCATCCATATGTGGTTTCTATTTCTTGTCACTCTCGTCACTGAGATTATAGTGCAATATCTGTCTTACTGTTTGTCTTTTGTACCAGGAGTCTCTTGAGTAGTCGAGTTATGTGTATTGGGGAACCGATGTAATTTTACAACAACATTCTATGTCTGGTGAACCGATGTAATTTTACAACAACATTCAATGTCTGGTCATGGATGTTTTAAGTGTTCTGTCTTTTCACTTTTTTTTTTTTATGTTTATTGCATCTTTGTTTTTTACTTTTGGATGGATGAAGCTGTTTGTCGTTATCAGTATTACCTTATAGATATTGGGTGGTACAATGTGATTAGTTGGATGCTGTTGCATTAGATTTCCCCTACCTGAACTAGAATCAAGTGCGGTCAGCATGGTCTGATTGGATTTGTATATTGATTCTACAGTCCGAACTAACCAGGAGCTTGGCATCTTCTTTTTTGCAATGTGCATCTATAATCTCCTTTCTGGTTTTTTGGGACATTTTCTATAGCTGGTGTATTTATCTGCCCATGTAAAATAATATTTCTCATTGAGTTCATCCATAGAGAGGATATTCCGATACCTCAGGTTTCGCTGTAGGAACATCAGTTGGTTTTGATAGTCGGTCATTGTTATGTGTATTTTAATAGTGACTCTTGGTCCATATCTGAACCCCAAATAATTCAAGGTGTGTGTGAGAATAAACTAGTTTTGTTCAAAACCATGATCAAACCCTATGCTACTTCCTGCTAAACACTTTGATTTGAAGAAGAAGATAATCACCTCGGGGACATGCTTTTAAGATATTGTTTATGGACCCACGCATGATATTACGACTAGGTTTCTAAATTTCTGGTTCGTTTGTTGGGTGCACAGGATGATTGTTGAGAGAACTGCTGAACTAGTTCATCCACTATAGTAAAACGTGAATTAGTGTCTGGACGGAAATGGTAAACTAGTTCATTTACATTGTGTCAGATGGGATTTACGTGGTCAACAGAAATTCAGAGAGGCTTTCATGAGAGTTTGTCGTGCATGAGAATGTGCTGATGTAGACCTACAGGCTAGATTTTCTTAAGAATGTGAACGCAAAATATAAAGCTTAATTTGCAGTGTGGAAAAAAAGAGGAGGTTTTCATGATAATGCGCATGCCATTCATAGCCATGCATCACACTTGCAACATCAGCTTGGGAAGTTTCCCGCCTATAGTTTTCTCTAGTCACAGGCTTTTCCTTTTTTACTTCTTTGAAATCTTTCTTTTTACCATTTTTTTCATGAGATGAGGTATGTCAGTAACATCAATGGTTATGTTCATGTTGAAATCTTAAATGTTGTGATACTGCAGCGAATATGTTGGGTGCTACTCTCCTCTCCTATCAAGGCCAAAATAATTATCAAGGTTGATGTGAGCTACTGTAAAGTACAGCTGCCATTGATTGTGGGAAGCCTGCTCACAGCCCATTGAATATCAGGAGAAATTTTATGTATTTGACAAGTAACAGTGACATTATGTTAGTTAATTTCTATGTTTATTTTTTCAAGAATAAATACAACTAAAAAAGAAAAAAATTAGGTAGAAATATTATTATTATGTTTTATGGGTCATGAATTTTATCTTCTTCTTTTTTTTTCTTTTTTTTTTTTTGTGTATGATTTTTTCTAGAGGTGGCTGTTCAGCTTTCCTCCATGTTTCTTGGACTGCACTAAGAGAGATCTAATCGATTTCTTTTATCTGGAGGGGTGTGAATTTTTTTTAAAAATCCCCCTGTTGCTAGAGGGCTGAAACCTTTAGTTCGGAGGCATTCGGAGCCCGGACCCATTTCACAACAGGGCAAGCAAGTCGCACAGGTTCGGTCCGCAACCGGACAATTTAAAGGCTTGCCACAATTAGCTGTTAGGAGCTTTTGCTCTTTGTTTTTACTGGGCTTGCTCTAAATTAAAGTATATTATGGTCCCATAATATCCTTTACTATTTCAACGAATTTCTTTCACATCCATGGTCATGTTTGCTACATATTTTATACAGAAAATTAGATAATTATTTCGCATTATATTATGGGCCAGGTCAAGTTTTCTTTTAATATAAATAAAATGTTAAAATATTATAGATGTTTTTTAAGTTAGAAACCATAAAGAATATGATCTGGTTGATTTTATGATTCCAAAAACAAACCAGATAACCTCTAAAAATATATAGACTTAAAATATTTTAAGATGATATTTTTTATTTAATATAAAGACAACAATATTTTGGATTGACTTTGATCAGCTTGGATTAATAAGTTAAATCGGTGACTTGAGTTATAAAATTATAATAACCTTATAAAAAACAAATCAAAACAAAATATAAAGCCTAATTTTCAATCAACTCAATGTTAAAATGATGAAATTAAAAAAAATCAATTAAAAAATTATCAAATTAACCTATTAAACTTATAACTCAAGTCATAAAATTGAAATAATCTTATAGAAAAAAATCAAAATAAATTATGAAATTCAATTCTGAATTAATCTAGTATTGAGGGATGATATTAAAAAAAAAATAACTCAATTCAATTCACCAAACCCATTACCTAGTTATAAGATAAAAATAACCTCATAAAGAAAAAAAAATATTTAATTTAACCTGAATTAACTTTTCAAATTTATGACTTTGATCACGAGATTAGGATATTATCAATAAAAGTGTATCGAAACAAATTATAAAACTTAATTTCCAATCATTTCTGTCAAACCCAATATTAAATAATGAAATATATAAAAAACATTAATTAACAAAATGACATAAAAAACAAGCAAAATCAATGAGTTAATCCGTTAAATATTACTTATTACTTATGGGATATGATTTTAAGATAATTTCATAAAAATTAAAATCAATCATAAAGTATAATTCTTAAATAAACACATAAAATAAAAAAAATTAATAAAAAAATCAAACAAACTAGATTAATATATGAAACTCACGATTTGATTTAATTATTAATTAACCAAATAATAATAAAGAATAAAAAAATAATTAATTAAAAATAACTTCATCCAATAAAATTAACTCGCTAAATCAAAAGATCTACATCATAAAAGTAGCATAACCTAAAAACATTAACAAAAGAAAAGGGCAAATAATTTTTTTTTCCAGTGCCACAATAGAACTTACGTGGAAAGTACTGTTCATTTCCTCGTATATTTTATTGTATCGTTAATTAATTGGAGATGCGTGAATGTTGTTAATTTATCCTCTCTCCTCCGTGGCGGAAAGAATCAGAATTCAGAAGCAGAAAGAGGGAGCTCGCTGTCTCAACTTGACTTGCTAAAATTGAAAAGGAGTTGCCTAAAACTTGTAGGATTTTAACTTTTATGACCTAGTTCGCCACGTCATCTTTGGTAAGCTATCGTAAAAGCATCATTATTTTTTTCACAAAAAAAAAAGTCAATGGAATGAGCGTCGAGTTTTGACCGAGTTTTATTTCGAGTTATAAATAAACTAATATTAGACTAATTAGAGTCGGTTAATTTCCCTTAACCATGACCAATTTAGAGTCGGTTAAGCAGGTCCCATAATCGACCCGCAAGTCACATCCAACTTCTATAACCAGAAGTAAGAGTGTAAACAAAGAAAATAATTAAGAAATTGCATATACTTTAATTCCTGACCATCATCTTTATTGCTTGCCAGTCCATTATTTTTATCTCGAGAAGAATATAATTAACCTTGATCAGGTATATAATCATCAATACAGAACTGTGACCAGTGTAACATCGTTTTCTAGCTCATAGACTCGTCCTAAGCAGGTGTTGTTCATTGTTGGAGTTTGGACTCTTAAATAGATACGCTTCTCCAAGTTTTACCAATAAACTGCAAAATCTGTGACCAAAAAAAACAAAAAGCTGCAAAATTCTCTCCTGAACTTCACCAGTTACAGGTGCACACAGTTTCATTTCTGGATCACTTGACAAGATGGCTAATTATCATTCTTGGCAAGGATTTGAAGCTTTAGACTCTACCAGTCATGTAAGAACGTATCCAAGTTCTGAACCACTACGCATTTATTATTTCAATTGTTTGATTAATCAGGTTTTGGTTGGGAAAAAGGCCTGACTTTGTGTCCTCCAACTTGAAATAGTTAGTTTTGGATTAGATTAAACCTTCAATAGTAATAATAATGATTGCTCAGCCATGACAGACAAAAATTGGGACGAGCTGAAAGGATAAGGAACACGAAGGTTGAGAGTCTTCCTCCGTGAAATTGCTGGTCACCTCAGGAACTCATCATATGCACGTTAGAGAGTAAAAGAATAGAACATAAATAGTTGCAGACAGTTTTTCAATCACCATAAAGGGCCAAAAGAGAAAACGAAGCCTTCAAATTAATTAGTAATCACCTTGATAAACAACAAAATTCACTCTACAATATTACCTCACCTTCTCTTTATCTCTATGTGCAGATGAGAGGGTTGAGAGGGAAATGAAAAAAAGAAAAAAAAGGAAAAGGAAAAGAAATGGCATCCACTCCTCGGCCCTACAATCAATCATTCTCAATTGAGGGTAATCAAGAATGGCAAAACTGACATGGTTTGCTAAGTCTTTTTTTCTTTTTTTTGAAAAAAAAGTTTTGAGGGTGCTGGCCTGCTGGGGCAGGACAAAATGTCAAGAACATTATTTTTTCTGAGTCTTCTAACTTCTCAAGTCTCTACTTCATCCAACAACATTTCTTGGTAACGGCATTCCTGACTGCAAAAAGCTTTTTCACCTCTGCATTGCAAGGATAACAGACAATTAGGCCCATAGTGGTTTTAGGTCACAGATATTAAATGAGAAGAACAGTAAAAGCAGTTGTTTTTGGAGACTTGGGTCTTTCAAACTGAAAAGGGGGAGACATGTTGCATCTTTTAAAAAAGAAGTAAAATGGTCCAAACCTGTAGATGTAAATGTCATTTTTCTGTTCAAGATTCTTCTTGCAAGTGTAACAGAAGCTAAGGAAACTCCTGGGCACAGATTTGGACGTATCCGATAAGGGGCAATAATTCTCCACGATGCAGTTATCAAAGATATGAGTGGTCTTTGGATTAGGTCCGTGAGTTATGACACATGTATAGTCTTCAGAGAGCTCCATTTCACTCATTGACATGCAACCTGTGAACACCTGGGGAGAATCCTTTGCTTGGATGCCAGAATTGACTGAACCAGATGCTGATAATTGCGAGTTCATGGACGTTTTAATTCCAAAGTCCCCTGGAGATTTAGGTGACTGAACTGGAGATAGTATAGAGTTTGGCAGTAGTGGGATTTGGACTCTGAGCTTGGTGCCAAACAAGACCGTTCTGTTACTGGGTTTAGAAAAATGGTTATCATTCTCTTTGACGGGTTTGATGCAGCTAGGTGTATCATCAATAAGTGCAACACCAATGCCCTTTGAGTCTGTTTTGTTCCATGAGTGTCTGTTCTCTGAGAAAACTTTCGGGGATTTAGGTTGGTTTATGTCATAAGAAAAGGGGGTTTTGAAAGGGAAGAGTGGTTTGGTAGTGTCAAGAATGGAAGTTGGACTCATCATAGGTTCAGCTTCCGGGAGAGCCTTGAAGGTGAAAGCTTTGAACCTTGGAGAACTGAGAAAAGATGTTGTCAGCTTTGTGTAATTCTGATTGGAGGGTGATTGAGTGCTGTGTTCAGTCATTAAAGTTTGCTTGCTGGTCACTGCTCTGGATCTATTCCTTAGCATAACTTCCCCGTATTAGATGTTGCTCAGCACCCCAAATTCACTGCAAAAAAGGTAAAGAAATTAAGATCAAGGAAGCAGTTTCCAATTTACCAACATGAAAATAATTGAGTTACTAGATATATAGAGAATAAGATCACTTCTCACCTAAAAACTATTAGAGAGTCAAATACAATCCAAGAGATCACCAAAAATTGCTGCAAGTGATGATGGTCACAAGAACCACCTTCTGAGGCTCCAAAGAAGAATAAAAAGTGCAGTCCTCTTTTTTTGTCCAAAAAACTAATGCAAAAGCTTGCTATCTAACCATCCACAGTCCACACACAGAAACCAGAAAAAAGAAGGAAAAAAAACTGACACCGCACGCTCTATTGGGACTTGAAACTCCTAAATCTCTGTAGCCTCCATGACTGGTACACGCTAAAAAGACAAGTAAAAGAAAAACCGATGTTTTCCCTCCAACTCTTGTCTTTTGTCTTACCTTTTTTTATTTTATCTCAACTAGAACAAGAATCAATTCCCCGTCTTAATGAGTCGCATGCAAGCCACATGATCAGCAGCGGAAATGAAGAACAGCCCCAGTCATTTACAGAAAAGGCAGTGGTACTACTGTACTGTTTACTCAAAACCAGGTTGTTTCAGGCAAAATGGTTAAAATCCGTTTTCCAAATCCCATATAAAGAAAAACAAGCAATCATCGCTATAAAGCAAAAATAAAGTGAGAAAAGCTACGTCGTCCTCTCTACTTTCAACTATTCCGTTAGTGGGTTTTCATTCTTGGCATCAGTTTCGCTTTGTCACTCCCTCTTTGCTCACTCTCAACCCCTGCTAGATCGCCACAAATTTGCAAACTGGCGAAGGCACAGAGAGCTGTATAAAAAAGTTAATTCACTTGGAAGACAACACAGCCTTATTGGATGCCCCTTTTAAAGAGAAAGAAGATAGTTGAGAGAGAGAGATGATGAGAGGCGTGTTCGAGAGAATCAATGACTTCTTACAATGTAGCCTCCTCACCTTACTAGCTAGGGACCCCATCTACAGTATTTTGCAATTCTGCAAATACTATTTCATAATTTTATAATCCCTTTTAATCTTCCCCCCTCCTCTCTCTCTCTCTCTTGTAATTATATACACACACGTAGGCATATATATATATATATATATATATATGATTCTTGTCCTTTTGTTTTAAAATTCTTGCTTTCACTCTCATGAGTTTATGGCATTTTTGTACGGGCTCAAATCTCTTGCTTCATCTACAGTAAGAAGGTGTTTATTGCATTTTAGCTTTTTTCTATGGCATCCACATAAAAAAGCACACAAAAATCATATTTTTATAGTTTTTAAAAATAAAATTTACACTTTAAAAAAATTATATTTTTTAAAAACACCACCGCAACTCCCACCTAAACATCCTCCACGTACCGCACGATCCTGAATGTAGAGATAAACGCCCTCGCTCGAAGAAGGATCCAATGACATCATGTTTCATCTTGTACACAGTACACTGCCATCCATGGCTTGTACTCACTTATTTTCTAATATTGAATTGGCAATTATTAGCGACATCATTGTCGAGGGAAAAAGAAGAAAACTGAATTAGTAATCAAGTTCTTCTAGTAATATTGACTTTGTACTCAGAATTATGCACTCGTCATTTTCATTTTTCGTTCGGATGTTGATTCATGGCTTGTTGCCCTTTTCTGATATTTCAACAAGAAGTTTCTCTTGTTCATATAGCGAACACATCACCAAACAAAAACTCTTACCATTGAGATTAATCAAGGGCTTTTTTTGTATGATTGGTGTTTTTGTTTTTTTATTTATTAAAAAAAACAAGTATGGGCTGCGGTAATTTTTCAAAATCTAGATGGAGTGATTTTTTAAAAATTGTTATTGAAGTTGTTGGTTTTAGTTTTTTTATTACAAATTTTAAAACAATCGAGTGTTTATTTTATTTGAAAAAAGTTTAAAATAAAAATAAAAATGAGTGAAAATAATGAAGTTGCGCAGGCCAAACAAAAGCATCCCTCAAAATTTAAATTTTCAATGTATTGTGGCTAAATTCTATATACAGCACACCACCAAAATGGAATTTTCAAGCTTTCACGCTCTTCAGAGTTGATACCTATGTCTGGTGTGGAACATTATCTATAAGAAATTAATTAACAAATATAAAAAAAAATCAGGTCAGGTTTTCCAACTACTTTTTACAATTTTTTAATTCTATCATTTCATGTGGATAAGGTTACTATTGAGTCATGTTGATTATTTATTTTAATTTAATGAAATTTATAAT